CGACTGTAGACACCTGTGGAAGTTTTGGGGCAGGTGTGCCTTATTAGGGGTTAAGTTGATTCTTGTCTTGATAGAGGTATATTTGAGTAAGTGATTAAATGAAAATGTGGTATGGACAGAAATGCGGCTACAGATAGTAGTCCTCGTCATAAAGTATCCTTTATATTCTTAGGCTTTATACTTTGCAATGAAAATAATTACGTATTTAACGAAGTTTCTACATACATACATACATACATCACGCGCCTCTTTCCCGGAGGGGTAGGCAGAGGCTACATCCTTCTACTTGCTACGATCCTGACAAACCTCTTTCGCTTCTTCAACGTTCATCAATCTTTTCATGCACGCTCGTCGGTTTAGGGTACTCTTGACCTGGCCTTTCTAAACTCCGCTTATTTTAACCCCGACTCTCAAGTCAAAGTCTGCACTCTCGCCTATCATTGTCTGTAGTACCCACGAGGCGCTAAACACCAGACTTGAATGGTCTCCCTGACCAGCCAACCATCACGATATTCAACACAAGTTTACCACTTTTAATAATAACAGCATTTTCTTAACAGAAAAACTAAAGCTTTTGATGTGCACACAAAATCACAGCAAAACAGCTTCCCAAAATGTTAATAAAATACAACAACTAATAAAAATCATTTATTAAATACATAATACAAAAGAGTGCCTCAATTAAATCTATTTTTTCTTTGTCTCTACTGTTTTCTTTGTACGAATAACATAGCTTTTGTAAGTTCCTACGGCAGCTAAAATTATAGATACGTATACTACTTGCAAGACGCCAACAAAATGTGCTATGAAGCCTGTCAGCAAAGGAGCAATGACTCCTGTTACAGATCTAACATTGTTCGCTACTCCTAAAACTGTACCTCTGTTGGCATCATCAGTTTTACACAAAATCACTTCTCGGGTTATCAAACTACCCATAGTCGAAGCAATACCCAAAGGTACAACAAACACTACGTAAAGGAATACATTAGGAGCTAAGGCGACTCCTATTAAAGATATAGTGAGCAAAGCGAATACATGAAGGTTTCTCTCAGTATAATCATTGTCTTTTTTATAGAAATCGTTGACTTTGTCAACAAAGAAGCTGGTCAACGAGCCTACGGTAGAGAAAACGGCTATGATGTAGCCAGTTACAACGGGAGAGACGTCGTGCTTGATCTTTACGAACAAGACGTAGTTGCTGATGAAGATTCCGATACACAAGGAGATGAAGAGTTTGAAGGAGAATATTTCCCAGTAGACGCTCCAGTCGATTTTGTTGAATTGCTCTAAGGACTCGTTGAAACTAGTGGTGACGGTGTTCAAGAGAGTCGGGGCAATGGCTGATTGTTCCTTTTCTTTCTTCTCTTCTTTCTCTTGTGGTTTTTTCTTCTCCTCTTCTTTCTCCACTTTAGGCAGTTTTCTGACCAGTGCTGATGGACAAATGTTTATATTAATATGTGAAGACTTAAAATTTGTAATTTTTAGCTAAAGCTTATTGTTGGGCGCAAGTCTTTTGTGAGCAAAACGTCTGTATATACCATCATATTTAATGATAACGATTTGCACAAACTAGATCTCCCCATTAAGTAATTACAAGTACCATTTGTTCAAAGTCCTACCTGAGTTTACAGCAAATATGGCTCCAACCAGAAATGCAACGATGGTAAAGCCGTTTTCGGGGAAAAAGTACACGATGTATCCTCCAATGATGGGTCCTATGGCCATACCAGCCTGTCTCAGGGTGTTGAGTTTTCCATAGATCGCGGACAATTCTTCCTTGTTTTCAACATAATCTGGAGTTAGGGCTATGGCCAACAGTTGGGTGTGCTTGGTTATTCCTGAAATATTAAAAAGAGTGTCCGTCAATTAAAAAATTTTTTTGCATATTTATCAAACTTATCAATATTTTTATCAGAGGCAAGTAAGACGTGAACTTTATGCTGGGGCTATCAGAACCATAAAGTCGTGTGAAAATTTTGAATGTTTTTCTTTCTGTTGCAGTGGGTAAATCAATTTTTTTCATTGCATAATTAAACCTTAAAAATGCTTACCGAGCAATCCTCGTAGCACCAGGAACAGAAGAATAGAGTTGGTGACACCCAGTAGAGTATAAGCGACGCCGCTAAGCGATAAAGACACCACCAAGACTTCCAATCGGCCTTTTATATCACTTAGACTCCCCTGAAAAATAAAGAAAAACTTAGGTTATTAAATTCTGATATCAGGGTTCTTCGGGTCGTTGGATGACACGCGTCCCTTACGAAGAGAGAGAGAGAGGTATGTAATTTTTTTTAAAAAGGTATGTTTTGGAGGTACTTTTTACTTAACCAGCAGGGTTATGGCTCCTTCGGGACCTCTAAAGTTAAACTTGACTATTTGGTGGGGAGCGAGAATTCATGTGAAGGATTTGGTGTGGGATTAGGGCTCATTAAGAGGGAGTCACATACACAGACATTAATTATTAGAGTAAGCTTACAGGTCAGCAATTGTTCTTCCCATATTATGGCTGATTGACTTACTGTCATAGGGCTGGACACCAGTTGCAAGCCGGAGTACAAGGAGGCCATGAACCCCACGAGGATGTGGCCGCATCCTAGACTCCTGGCCTGGGGAGGCAGCTGTGGCACGATCAGGCCTGCTGCCAACAGGTCCTGGAAAGAAGAAACTGAATTATGCACTCGGAAAATAAAATGTTTCAAGAAATGTAAAATTGCCTCTGAAGAAATGGTAATATGAGGTCTGAAGTTACGAGTTATAAAAAGTACCTAAATATGTTATAGGCTGAAGAAACTGAATTAAGCACTCTGGAAATAAAATGTTTCGAGAAATGTGAAATTGCCACTAAAGAAATGGTAATACGAGGTCTGAAGTTACGAGTTATAAAAAGTAAATATGTTATAGGATATCGCCAGCACATCGATCTATCTATTTAGGGAAGGGACCAACTTATTCCGGATATTCTAATACAAATATTAAGCATTCCTGCATAAATTGATCCGTTGCAACACACGTGTGTTAACTGGAGGTAGAGAATATTGCATTGATTTATGAATGAAACTGCATTGCACTTTCATGTACTTATTACATTACAACAATGATACTGAAAACACTTACCAGAAATGCAATTACTTGAATCGTAGCTACCGGCGACTTCATTTTCCTTTAGTATTCACTGTTCTACCATATGGTCAATAAATGTTCACAAAATACGACCTATCGTAACACTTACACACTATACTACTGTGAGTAATACGAACCCTTATCTCACTGAGATAAGAATATTATTGTTATGGTAATAGCTACTGATTTTTTATTTTTTATCCATTATCTACGAGAGAAATGACGGTTCACCAGGAGTTCAAAAATTAAAAGAACGCAGTAATTTTTGGGTTTCACTGAAAACCGTACAATTTACACAGATGGTTGAAAATATGTTTAAACACAGTTTACTTAAACATTTCGGTGGTCTTGCAACGTGGTTTCTTCGCGATACGTATCAAGATTGTAGTTGTATTGTAACCACTCAAAAATGTCGATCCGATAAAAAAAATGTTTATACGATAACGATAAAATAATAGCAATAAAATGGCAAAATGACGTGTTGGCATAACCACGAACCACGACAATTTGCGGATTGCGTTCTGCTGCGGGTATTTTTCGGTTGTTGTTCTTTTTTTGCTCTTACGGATCATTCTGTGACTAAAGTTAAATGTGTTCCGCTTGAATACACTTAACAATAGCACCTACTACAACAATACTATTACTTACGTAAATACTAACTTACTTTCGTCTTAATGTATTAGGATTTCAATACACTGACAGTGCTATATTTTTCTCATAAATTAAATGAGAAAAATGAAAAATTCGGTAGCGTCGGCCGGGACTTGAATCTGAAACCGTGGAGTACCGACCCACTCTACTAGGGTACAAATCCCGACCGACGAACCTTCATTTTTTCAATTTTCTTATTTTCTTTTATAAACTGTTTTAAACTTTCACGGTTACACATAGTGTCTCAAAATATTAAATCAAAGGCTTGAGAATCGAGGTTCCTTTTATCGTGATTCGTGCGTCGCAGTACAGATGAAGGCTAAATTTTCTTCTCTTTTATTAAACACATTTTTGAGAATTCTAACATGTTTTAATACGATATCGTTGAAGGCTTCTGAGCCAACTTAATTTCCTAATGATTGCTTTGTGTTTTCATTTTCATACAGCTAGCAAGTACTAAAATTACTTATCAGTAGAAACAGCACATTAGCCTCTCATCTCATTTAATTTAATTAACCAGCTTCCGTCATAAGACAATGGAGGCCCTAAACTATAAATGTAACGATAAAGATGCACCATCTTTATAAATACATGGTGTTGCAAAATAATACAATATATATATTTTATACATTTGCCGTGTTAAGGTTTTTTCAAATCTGAGCGATATTCCGATAGGTACGCGGGTAGTAACTCAATCGGTTGTTAATTTTAATCCAATTAGTATCCACGTTTCTTGCTCTTGAACTTTTTTTTTATTTGTTTGTATTTTAATTGTCTAGTACCTTATGCCGCAGCCGCAGGATTATGCAGATAAGTTGGATTCATGTAGGTTAGAATTCTACCTTCAGCAGTATATTTTATTTCTACATAATATTCTTAGGAAAACCCCCTTTTCTGTGAGAATACATTGCTTATCTAGGTTTTAACGTTCAAAAATTTCTTTTTCAAAAATTCATTAGCCCAAAGTGTAACTACTCTTTTCCACGCACCCTGTACATTCACTATGGCGCTATAATTATTTCAGTAGTGGTTTTCCCACGAACTGAATAGTATAAATAGTAGTACGTGTATCTGGGTCATTTTATTGCATATTTAATAAGCGCGTCACGGTTCGCGACTTAATTGTGTAGAGCGCTTTGTCTTCGGACCTCAAGACCCTCAAGACATGACCTGGGCGTTTTTTGAAAGAACATGACGTTGTGGTTTCGTTTTATAGGTTCAGTGGTTCTGTCTGTGGCGCAGTGGTAGTGCGACTGCCCGCGACGCAGAAGGTTCTGGGTTCAATTTCCCGGTGGGTCACTCACAAAGTTAATACAGCCTGAACCACCTGATTGTCCGAAAAACAAGATGGTTCCGTGCTTCAGGGGGCATGTTAAGCCGTCGGTGTTTGATACAGCAAACTAGACTTATATGTTTATGTTATGATTTATCTGAATATTTTTTGGAAAACTAGCAATTTTTTCATCGCAGGTAGAATTCATTAGTATGTCTTTCTATACCTTGAACGTTTTCAAATGGTCTTCTGGCTCATTCGTAGAAATAAAATTATCATATATGATTTTTGAGGAAAACACTTGTACTCGTTTCACAAAATTATATTTGGTCCCAACCTAAATTATCATGAATCGATCTGTCAACCGCTATTATTATACCACTTGTTCTGTCTAACTTCAATAATTTACTTCGATTCATGTTTGTGTCTGCTCTATATTAAAACTGTCCACCCGCGACTTCGCCCACATAACAATCGGATTTCCGGTAGAGACACTCTAAATCTCATTAAGCAGAAAACTGAATCAAGACATTCATAAAAAGTCTTTACAAAGTCTACATAAATACAGTTATTATTTGAAACTTCGTGTGAGTCCATACTCCGGATGTCACAAAACATCAAATAAGATAAACTTACTTAAATGCAGGTCTAACAAATTGTTTGTCCACATAACTGTTCGTAGTGATTGCTCTACTTGTGATAAAACCGGAAAAAGCTTATACCAAAACTAAAACTTCCCATAATAACAAAGTTAGTATCTAAGCTTAAAATTATGAGGAAATAGGTACAGAAGAGGCGAGGCACAGTTGTTTCGCCTTCCTTTGGACTCCCCTAAAATAACCCAGCGAAAAACAAGCAAAGGATATTAATGCTTTGATCTTACAAATCAATATCAACGTTTAATTCAACATTAAAATCAACGGTTACCAATACGGCCATTTATTAGGTAATTTATGCAATTTTAGGTAGATCTGCCGTGTGATGCTGACTTAGAATGTCATCACCCCATATCTTTCCCGTGGGTGTCGTAATAGGCGACTAAGGGATAAATTCATCCAGGGGTTCGATCCCTGGATGAATTTCGCGATCGCATTGCAACATCTTGCATTGCGCTCACCAACCCGCCTGCCAAGCGTGGTGAGTATGGCAAATACCCCCCTACTAGGGGGAGGCGCATGTTTAGCAGTGGACTTTATTGTGGCTGTTATAGTAGGTAGATCAACTTGTACTTTTAGGTAACTATAGGTCTTAACTTGATGAACCTTCAATATGTTTCTTAGGAGCTGTTTTCATTTCTATTTATTTGCTTTCCTACCAGCAGATACCTGTTCCTAAAACGTTTATTACAATCTGTCTGTTTGTTTTTACATCGAAGCGGCTTCCTGCTATCTCTTAAGACGCGTCTAATGTCTAAATAATTGGCGTAATATTCTTGTCATTACACTATAAATGAGTCGTGGGAGAGTTCCTGTCTGGTACTATCACCCTACCCGTTTAAGGGTTCAACTTGAAATGGTTGTTCTTAGTAACTGTTTGAAAGACCAGTATAGTTGGTCCCTTAATAAGGCAGGTTGAATTGAAGTTCTACTGATGGTGTGTACTATCGCCAGAAAATCCACTTACCCATTACCCATTCAAGGGGTTATCTTATACTGAGTTCCTTAGTAACTGTATTATTCTTATTCTTCGAGTGGGACACCAAGTCTTCCAACGACCCGCGAGGAACCCTGGTGCCAGAATTTTTCAACCGCCTACTGCAAGTAGCAGGCCTCTGACATAGATAGCAGCCGGGACCGATGGCTTAACGTGCCCATCCGAAGCACGGAGCCATCTTGCTTTTCGGACAATCAGATGGTTCAGCCTTCAATTTCCTAAACAGACTGGGAACAAACTCACAGAGTGATAAATATCAACTTTGTGAGACCACATCGGTGTTACTGTATGAAAGACCAGTGTAAGTTGGTCCCATAAAAGGGTAGATTGATATGGAGCTGATAGTACAGCTACTGTGAAACCTCAAATATGTATCAATGGGGGGATAATTAGTGTAAAATCTGCTGTTCCGCGTTGCGGGAAATTTTCCGCAGTTCTGCATTGCTCAGGTGTTTTGTATGGGAGAGGTGAGAGGCAATGAAATGTTTGATTTGGCGCGAGCTACACAGAGGAAACGTGCGACGATTGTCTCGTCTGTTTCGTACATTTTATATGGAAACGGTTTCAAGCGTCGCGATGTCGCACGTCTCTCTGGAGCTTGCGCTTTTGTCGTTTATTGTTCTTTGAAAGTGCTGATTTATGTAGGAAAATGAAAACATAATAGGTATAGCACTAATTAATAACAAATAATAACCAGTGGATAACTTGTTTCTTTGATTTCTCGCATTACAACGACACGCTAACGTGAGAAATCGAAAAAGAAGCGTGTAATCCAGTTGTGATTAGGGATTAATTATTTCTCACTTATCTTTCAACAACTTAATTGAATAATATATAGGGTGTAAGTGACTTTCCGTGTGATGGCGGATTAGAGTAGCATCACCCCATAACTTTCCCATGGATGTAGTAAGAAGCGACTAAGGGCTCAAGAAGAAGAAGCTTTGAAGGGATAAGGACGTGATACCTATATGTATGTATGTAACCTGCAATATAACACGAGACTCGCCATCGCCACAGCTGAAACATAAAATTTAAACAGGTGGCCGTGGTCAAATTAACTACCTGCTATATTGGAAGATTAAAGTCGTAAAATATGGCCAAGTGTATTAAAGACCAACCTTAATAATATCGTAAATAATGAGTACATTTTGTATTGCATTAATATCGGTGGTAATAGGCAAATTCTACACGAGCGAAAAAGTAAAATTATGAAGTGCATATTTTCTTTACTTTGTTGCAACGATCTTTAAATTTTTTGTTTATTAAATTAATCCTATCACCTGCTTCCTATCTTTATTAATTTTGAGTATGAAAATTATATTAATTACTTATTGCCAGATAGGCTTTGAGATAAAGCAATTTTAGTTTTTATCCAATTAGCAAGCCTATTAGCGTAGAACAATTTATACACATTCCACATAATGATGCAAAAAATACATCTATTTTCAAACTAGGTACATTTTTTAAAACATTAAATACCAATCAAGCATGTACATAAAAATATTATCTATGATAAGCTGCTCTTGAGAATTAAAAATAAAAGTTCCCTTTCTCATTTCGAATCTAGTTAATAATGTATCTCATAAAAGAAAATCGAGGTACCTATTTGATAAGAAAGGAAAGGGATTTGTGTTTCATGATAATAAAGTTCCCATGAGACTTTATTACAATAAAAATAGTTTTTTGCTTGTCATTATGAACATACATAGGTACATTTTAATAGAAAGATGGAATTTAGATACTTTGTATGTAAATATATGGATTTACAAACTTTCAGCCAACAAACAACTATTAAAATTTAAAGATTTGTACCTACAACTTACGACTGGCGTGTTTTTTTTTGTTTAACCGGATCACGATGGTATATTTTTACGTGAGCTATATACCTAGCTGTATTCTGAAACTAAACTAATAACCATAAGCATGTATCTATGCATCAGTTCTGTAGACCACTCGTCATTTACGTTACTTAATAGAAACTATCATAGAACATGTAGTCTATTTTATAATGACTTATTTGCTTACACGTTCTAATATCAGCTTACAGCGAATACCCTCTTAATACCCTGTTTGCATACTAATTATAAGACTAGCAGGCCTATTGTGCGTTTCCTTATGATAGGGTAAACGCTCCTATGACTGACCGTGACGTTCTCAATTTACACGCCACCTTTGACCGGGAGAGGTAAAGATACCAATTGCAGCCCAGTCCTCTCGCTTCCTTATAATAGGGTAACCGTCCGAGTATTGACCCACCTGTGTGCAATTAGCTATCCACCCAAGGCGCGTCACGGTTCGCTGGGATCCTACGTTCCCACACAATCGTGAGATAAAGAATAAATTTGCTTTAGTTATTAGGAAAATCCGGGGCATTGGATGAATCTCAGATTTTGCTGATTAGATATATCTCGTTTTGGGTTCAAGGATCCAATTCGGTGGTCAGTAAGCTCAATAAATTACGAAAAACAGGCGTCATACCGCCGCGAATGACTTTTAAAAATGCAAGAGATGTCCATCAGAAGAACACTTATAAGACTCTCAAAATTTATACAGGCAGGTTGTAAGGGACGGTGTAACGAAAACCTTGCAGGGGTGCTCGCTCAGATCATGAACCTGAAAAACTTTCCCCATGGAACATATGGCGCTAAACGAAAAAAAAAACTGACCTCCGATACAAAACTCACGATCAGCTGACTGACTTTGTATGGGATATCAAAATTTATTTTTTCGTTTGCCACCATAATATATTCCATGGGGATAGTTGTTCAGTTTCATGGCCTGAGCACGACACTGCAATGTTTTCGTTGCACCGTCCCGTACACCCCGTATTTAGTACTTCAAAATGAATTTTGATAAAAATTGGTACATACGACTAACTATAGAAAAGCAGACTAAAACCATGATCTCCGCCAGTTTATACTAATTGCGCCATACCATAACGTTCTTAGCCCGTTGGAATCTTCGAATTTGTCTTCGTTTGACATTTACGCGTTGCTTTTTACGATCTTTTTAAAATACTCCTGTTGGGGATTACTCGTGACATTTACTACTAATACCTCCACCTTTACGACCCAGTGTTACTTGAGGTACAGTCGAAGATAAAAATCTTTGTAGGTGTCATGAAAAATGGAAGTAAAAAAAATGTTACCATTAGTATTTACGGTACCTTTACAAGAAGAGTGAGCATTCTTATCCTCTGACATAAGGATCGCTATCAGTTTATACAGGTTGTAAGGGACAAGTCTCCAAATAACTACTGAAAGTCTGGGTGCATTCAGACCATGAAACTGCACAACTTCCCATTAGAAAACATTTCGGAAGACGAAAAGTGTTTTGACTTACCACCGTAATAAATGCGGCAGACATCTGGTCG